AGAGAACTGGGTTTTGTTCACAGGTTTAAGCATCCTGAGAGCAATAAACCTTTCTATGAAGGGACATTGTGATTTTCTGTTATGTTCTAGAATAATGGAATATTAACCTCAGAGACAAGCCTGTGTGGGCTATAAATGCTTTGTGAAACCATCAGGTCTGTGTGCGTGGGATCTGTGTTTAGTCAAACAGCTGCTTGTCACACATACATCAACCTGGGGCTAAGAAGTCAAAAGTTTTGTCTTTATGAAGTAAAACAATTGACTCCATAAAGATGTGTCGGAATAACTTTCAACTTGACAAACATTTGCTTGACTGCTTTAAATTTGTTTAAAGCAAAATGAAGTACAGTAAAAGCCCCCTGTAAATGTATAAAGCACACACTCCTCCTCAAGTAGGCTGTGGTCTCACAAGGAAAAAGAAGAGTTATTAACAGCTAGTGTTTAGATGTGGGACACAGAACAGGGAAGCAGAATCCTACTGTTCACACAGCAACTGGAAACACAGCCATGTGCTCTTGCTCATTCCCTTTAGGGAATTCCATCACCCACCATGTTCTCTGCAGTAATTAAGAGAGGACTGAAGGAAAACTCTTGTTTTTCTCTTCTTCTCACACTATCTGCTTTGCTGCAGGTACTGATGTGTGAACATGTTGAGCTCGCTGTCAAGCCAACCTGCTTTGTTCCTGCAAGGACAGAAAATTTTGTTAGGTGAATGAAACAGCTCTTCTCAAGCCAGTCAGAAAGAAGTGCAACAAAAACAAGTACAAGCAAGACATGGAGTTGAAGAAGTCTTCCCAACAGCCTCTGCAGACAACTGCCTACAAAGGTGAAGGCAAGACTTTTTGTGTAATTTTTTAAGGGCCTGAAGGAGTTTGTAGGAGTGGAAGACTGTATGTTTTCATAAATGGGAAGGAACTGTAATTCCAAACAAATAAAAAACAGGAAGAAAAAGGTGGTTTGTGAGACAGAAGCTTGAAATGACTGTCAATAGTCCATAGGAAAGTACCTAGTGAAAGGGAACATTATTTGGTAGGGAAAAAAGCTGACACCTGCACATTAAGTGCTATGACGAATACAGAATGAACTCTAAGCTACAGCTCATATGAACATCCTGGGGCAATCACATGAAAAACAACTGTATGGAATAATCAGATCTCACCTGAGCAGTTTTGCTTTGCTCTGCAGTGAATCCAAAACTTCAATTTTTTTATTCATGGCAGAAATTTCTTGCTCAAGATTCTCCCGTGTAACATCCACTTGCTGACACAAATGAGCAAACGTTCCAGCAAGCTCTCTATGAAACAAGAAGAGTTGAATATTATGGAAAGCAAGATCAAGCAGCACATTCAAGGAATAAATCCTTTTGATGAATGGGATGATGGTATTGTGACTCAGACACTCATCTTTCCACTTCTGCATAAGAATATGTCAGAGCATTTTGATTTGAGGCATGGAAGTACATTAAGACTAATGCCTGACAGCACCCAAACACTACATAGTCAAAATAAAAATATATTATTTTAAAATATGTGTCATTACATTTTTTTAAATCTAGAATTCAGCATGAAGTTACCTTTATTTTTAACAAGGAATCTTTATTTATCTTTATTTTTTTATTTTAGTTATCTTTAACAAGCATTAAAAAAAAACTCCAAACAACAGAATTTCCATAAGGAATATAGGGAACTCACTGCTGGACTTGGTGGCTGCAGTTTGAGCCCGTGTAGCTGACGATGAGCTGCAGTTTCTCCCCAGCATACTCCACAAACTGCCGCTTGAAAGCTCTCTCCTTGGCTTTGGTGGTCCAGGTGAGGCGCTCGTACACATAGAGCAGCCCGTAAAGGCCAAAAGAGAGAGCAATCAATCTCCAACCCACGGCCTTCCAGACCTAAAGAAACACAAAGGAAAAGAAATTACACAGTCATCATCTCAGACTGATGCTCACTCCCAACAGTGGTGCACAGAGCATTGCAAAATCAGCTCACTATACTCAAATGGAAGATCAAAGGAAAAAATAGGTCACTATCTGTGAATAGCAAATATCTATTGGATTTGGTAGTGCAAGTGCTTTTTACATAAGTGCTCCAACTTAAGTTATAAAAATGCTGCCTAGAGTGCACACTTACCACACCACCAACCACAATGATCCCCATGGAAGTTCGGGAAGTTAAAGAGGCCAGTCCAGTCACCATGGACACCATGAGTTCTTCCTGGGTCATAGAACCCTGAGGCAAAGGAGGCAGACTGGGATTTGCTGGTGTTAAAGGGCGCTGAACCTGATTAGAAAAGCAGGGACAAAACAAAATCAGAAGAGAGAATAAAAGGTGAACCACTGCTCTTCCCACCAAAGGAACTTCAGCAGCCACTGAAATAATGAATATCTACCCCAACTGCTCAATGAAGTAATCTACCTGGTCATTATAGCCCATCAAGGCCCGACGACCATTCTTTGGTCCCAAAAATCTGTTCACCAGCATCGTCCATCCAAGAGAGAAATGGAATTCTATATCCTCCTGGAAGTCAGCACAAAGCTTGTCACAGTTCAGATCATAGCTGAGCATGAAGCACTGCCGAGGAATTAACATATCCATCTGGCCCCGCACAGAGACTGGGAGGAGGGGTTTTAAACCATCTACACAGGAAACAAAAACATGCAGAAAATTGCTGTTGAGTTCACAAGAATTAACTGGTCTCATATTCCATATCAGGGTACTTATGGATTGTTTCATCCTCCACAGTTAGTTTATTCAGTATATTAAATTTCACAAGCCAAGCGTGTTGCGAAGTAAGAGATACATCATCAATTATTATTCAATTCTTGGTTCTTCAGACCAACCCAGAAGGAAATCTTTCCACAGACCCTCCAAAATCCTTACAGGTAGCTGGTGAAGTTTACAGATTAGCAAAACCTTGGAAAACAAAATCTGAAACCCAGTTCTGCAAGTCTTTAGGCACCTCAGTCCCATACTCAGACAGGCACCTAGTTACAAGTCATTTTTATTTCATTAGGATTTGGTGTGAGAATCTCCCAAATTCCCAAAGCCACAGCTCCTCTCTGTCATGAGGATTACACTGTGACTGTACATATTCATTAGGAAATCACTGCACAAGTTCAGACACAGAATTAGTCCTCAACACAACAGCATTACTCCTCAAGATGGAAGCTAAGATGGAGCCAGCTGCACATCAGCCATTGAATTCATGAGAAACCCAGAACATCCACCTAGTTATTTTGCACTGCAATTCAAGGGAAGAGAAAGGGCAGTATTGCCTGTGGAACTGACCTATCATTTCTTGCTGCATTGTCTGCAGGGAAGTTGTGATAGCACTGGAGCAACGATCTGACATGTTACGGCCCAGGCCTTCCTCTATGTGTTTATGCAGCTCCTGACAAAGAAAGAGAGGGTTATTAAGATTAGAATAAACATGGCTAAGATGCAGGCTGAAGGTGCTAGAGCTTACTAGTTAAAAAGACCCTCCCAGAACAGGAGGGCACAATCTGTCTGCCCAGTGTTCTGACATAATTTCATGCTTCCCCCATTTTTCAGTGAAGGGGATGAAAAGGCAAATCAAAAAAATTTCACATGGACTCTTTAGTTCAAAAAAAGTTCTGTTCAATCTATATAATGTGCATCAATTTATTACTGAGGTTATTAAAAAACTAAAGTTCTAGTTCATATTCTAGTTGGAAGACTGTTAAACATCTCAATGAGCTGGCATAATTACTCAGAGTTATAAAAGGTCTCTTAAATTGCTTAAGCAAACATCACTTACACTCTTGTAGACTTTAAGAACTACTTGAGATGGATGGAAGTCTGCTTGGTATTCATCTACCAACACTGAAAGCCGTCTGATTTCTTCTGCCATTGCATTTGACACCTAGGGAAACAGCACAGGAGAGAAAATAGAGCTTCTGAAAGCTTTTCTCCCCTTCCCATCTGTAACTCCCACAGTTCTAGTACTTCAAAGTTTTGTCAGCACTGCACATTTTCCCCACCATGCTGGCAGCCATTTCAGACAATCCAGTTTTCTGCAGAGACTCCTCCTTACCTGCCTTTCCACCTCTTCAGTGATTTGTTTGATTTTCCGCTTGTAGTCTTGAGTAAGGAGCTCCAGCTGTTTGTCAATAAAACCTAGGCGATCCTGACGTTCCTCTCGCATTTCCAGACAGTAAACTCTGGTGGGAAAAAACCCCTGTCCATCAAAATGCCAGATAAATACATTTTTGATCTATAAATATATTTGAATCCCAGAAATAAGATGGATTTTCCTGCCCTGTAACAAAATATCTGCAACACATTACACAGTCATGGCACAGGACAAAAATAAGGTCCTTTTCCCAATACTTCCATAATTCACTAGAAGCAAGACCACCAATACGTGTCCTTCCTGCTCTCAAACACACTGTATTCTGCTTTGCATTTCAAATGCTCACATTCCCTTACATCTGTCCCAGAATACAAACTTCAGTTATGCAAGCACCAAGCATCAGCTCTCACCGCTGTTCCTGGGCAGCAACATGCACAGAGTCCATGATGAGGCGAACATCTTCCGCGATCTGCTTCGCTCTCACCGTATGCTGCTCAAATTTTGTTTTTACTGCTGACTGGGAGATACATTCCTGTATACAAAAGGCAGCCCAAGATTAGCAGCAGGCAGGACCATACTAACACAGCTTTCCAAAATGTGTCCCCACAAGTGCCAGTCTTTCAGGAGTAAAATCCAACCAGCACACATAATGCTCACCTCAAACCTTCTCTCGAAGCTTTGAAATTCAAGCATTCTTACTTGAAATCCATCTGCCAATGCTCCACCTGAGAGAAGGAACACACAAAACAACCACTTAAATTTTGAGAAAGCAATCAGATGTTGGACATCAGGAAATGCTCTTGCTTTACACTGAAGGCAGTGCAAAAGTGCTACTAAGTCACCCCTTCTGTTGTGATTGCCTTATTAATAATTTGGCCTTCCCCAGTTTCATACATTTTTTGAAACAAGATACTCTCTGTTTTCTTCTCTGTAAGTCAATGGTAAGTTTCTGCTAGCCTTCCTCACCTCCTTCTGGCATCCCTTGAGCCCTCTGAATCCTGGCATTCAGCACTTCTTTTGCAGACACAAAGAAAATCCGATCCCCTGCCTGGGCTCGATCCACCACACCCAGCTCATCCACCAGGAAACTGGTGCACCGCTCCATGTGCTGCCGGCGCACCTGAGGGATAACCATGATAAAACACACAATGTTAAATCCACATTATCCATCTCTTAAAGGTTAGACCAGGCACCCAAATGCCCTATCTGAAGTTATCTAATCTCAAAGGGCCCCTGTGAGACTCTTGATTTCCTGCTCAGAAATTTCAAGAGTCACGTCCTGATCACTATTCTATGTTCCCTCTAATCTCCACGCTAAGGTGATAAAAATCCAACCAGTAAAACAATCACACATAGTACTGATCCCCAAGGACCAGAATCAAAACAGACTCCATGATATCCATGCAAAGAGAAGTAGTTTAAACACATCACAAACCTCTTCCATATATTCTGGTTCAGATGCAGATGCATCCCAACGGTTATTTAAAATAAATATATTGGGTCGAGACAGACGTTCATTCACCTTGTGAAAGAACTGCTTCTCCTAAAGAAAATGAAACAACACCTCTTTAGATTAATATGTCAAATATTTTTAACCTTTAGCCAAATTCATTGAACAAGTGGACTTGCACATACAGTTTGCATCAACGTTGATTCAGAATTTGCCACCAGGACAAATACATCAGCATCGAGACAGAATTTGTCAATCCAGCTGTCCAGCTCTGTGGTTACATCAATGCCAGGGCTAACAATAAAGAGAAACGAGACATTACTGTGCTATGAATACAGCAAAAACCGAATTTAAAAAGTTAACAAGAGTTTTTCGGAGCATTAATTTCCCATGTCTGAGCTACACTGCCCTGAGGTGACAAACAACAGGCCAACAGGAAGTAACAACCAGGAAAAACACACAAGGGACTTTGGTCACTGTCTTAGATTAGAACAGGATCAATTCCCTTGATGTTTGTTAAATATATATTTGAAAACATTTCCCTAATTAGTCTGTGATAAGCAGGAAAGGAAAGAAAGCTATTTCTCACCTGTCCATCAGCACCAGGTCGTCCTTTAAGAGAGAACATTTGGAATTGGGCCACATTACACTGACTAGGCTGCCAGCATTCAGATGTTCATCTTGATGAAGGGCATGAGCCAGCTGGTTTACTGTCTGCAAAAAGATGGAAACAATATTTCCTGTATGCCAAGACCCACTAACACAATTAACCTCTCTTCAGGGCTGTTCACAGACAATTTGAGAGATAAAGCTAAAGTTCAAATTATTTTCTCTCTCGAAGGTTTTTCACATAAAACCTTGAGTGTCCTAGTAAAAGGTCAACTGCTAGTGAGAGTTTATGAGAGATTTCTCCTCTCAGGAAATGCTACTGAGGAATTATCAAGTCTGTGATTCCAACAGTTATACAAGGCTCAGAACTTCCTGAGTCATTGTTCCCTGCTATCACTAATAAATGCAACATATCAATCTCTTTCATAAAATGAACAAGTCCCCATCCTGCAACCTGCTTCATTCCTTACTTCCTACATCTAACATTCTTCATCTCCTTTAATGATTACAATTCTTAGCTGTGAAATTTCTTATTTTTTTTCTTCCCTTTTCTGACATTTCTGAAGAGCTCTTATCCTTAACCTTATGCTTAAGGAACTTGTACCTTAACACTCTTCTTTTCCTCTGAGCCTTCTGTCAGCAGGAAAGCCTCATGTCCATCTGTCCCTTCCACACGCAAGAAGCAATTGGTGGTGTGTCCAATTCCTGAAGGAAGAACTTTGTCCCACAGCATGGCATTTATCACAGTGCTCTTCCCATTGCTTGTCCTGCAGTCAGATTAAGGACAACGTTTCAGGTTTCCAATGAGCCAGGTGTGCTCATTTCCATATTACAAAACCAAGTTCTCTAAAGCCAAGCTGTATCAGAGCCATTAACAATTTAGGTGCCAGAGGCAACCTGCAAAAAGACTTTTCTATTTCCCTATTTTAAGAATTGTTCAAATTGACGATTTACATGATACAACATCTGTTTCAAATTTACAAGAGCACCTGTATCAGGGATGTGGACATTACAAGGAGAAGCTAAAGCACTGGTGTTTATATTAGTATTTTTTGCCAGCTACAGTACTCAAATGCTTTACTGAACAGGGAGTGTAGGCAACACAAACACTTGACTCACCTCCCAAAAAAAGCAACTTTCATATGCCGTCTTGCCAACACTTCACTAATACCACTGACTTTTGACAGGTAGCCTTTGACTTCCAGTACCTGCTCTTCTGTGGTGACAGGATCAAGCTCTGCATTCTTGTGTGTTTCTAAAATCAAAATAGATCATGTCTCTGAATGCTAGAAGCCATCTGGGTCAGTCTCTCTGTGACGGTAACACTGAACATTTATCTGTGTCCCACAGTTCACGTGAGTGATCCTGACATAGGCAGTGACACCCTGAAGCAATTCTACAGTAACATTTATCAGCTGGACTCCTTTGTGTATCTCAACTGTTCCCATTCATGGGACTGCCTTGAACAGAACAGCCAACACTGCAAACAGTTCAGCACCCTTAGAGATAAAATCTGTCTGTGCCTTAAGCTGTTAAAGCCAATTACTGGCGTACGTTACATGTCAGTAGCAATGATGTGTTCAGGCAAGAATATTTAAAGGATTATAGGCAAAAAAACTCTCTTGGGGTTGTGTAATTAATTAAAAAACTCCCAAGCATAAAAATCAACCATAGCTCCCTAACTAGCTCAGTTTCTTAACATGCATGAACTTCTCATCTTCAAAATAAGAAACTGAACTCCACCCAAATTCAACAAAACAATTTTCAGTTTCTCTTACAAACATGACTGTATAGACAGACACACATGTATAAATAAGCACAGATTTGGCAGTGCCATTTGACTGACTGAGGGGGTTTGGTGCACATTTTGGAGGAAATCTTACATGGCAGAGCACTGTTAAACACTCGTAGCTCAAGAACTCAGCTTACCTTCTAGGAATGAGGAGCTCTCGTTGATGTATGCAGCCAACTGTTCAAAGATACCATTGATTTTCTTCTTTGCAGTGACAAAATGTTTAAGTGGAGAAGCATTTACCTCAGCCATGTGTCTTTTATCCTTCTTCACTGCAACTATTGGGTTGGAACGAGTAAACAGTAGGGACATTGCGCTAAAGGGAAAAAATCCAGTAAAGACCAGTGTCACCAAGTGTCAACAGCTACCCAAGGGGGTGTAGTGATAGGACAAGGGGGAAAAACTTTCCACTTACAGAGGGCAGGGTTAGATGGGATATTGGGAAAAAATTCTTCCCTGTGAGGGTGGGGAGGCCCTGGTACAGGTTCACAGTGAAGCTGTGGCTACTCCATCCCTGGAAGTGCTCAAGGCCAAGTTGGACAGGACTTGATCCACCTGGTCTGGCAGAATGTGCTCCTGCCTCTAGCAGGGAGTGGAACTGGATAATCTTTAAGGTCCCTTCCAACCCAAACCGTTCCATGATTCTGTGATCCAACTGAGCATCTTTACAAGAACTAGATAAATGTACATTTTAAGAACTATCTTCTTTCCTTCACAAAGAAACTGTTCCAATTCATACAACTCATGTATCAAGAAAAAACGTCAAAACTCTTTCTCCCTTCCAATAAACAGGCTCGCAGTGATCACTCCTCCCCATCCTCCGCTTACTTTCAGGATGAGTTACGTTTTCACAAGTCAGGCATGGCCAGCTTGAGGCCCTCTCGAAGACAAATGGCAGCAGTTTGCCCTGCCTTCTCCCTCGCCCCGGCCGCACTCCGTCCCGCAGCTCCTTCAGCGGCGCCGAGTCCAGCCGGTCTCCACCCCTGTGGCAGAGTGACCGCGGATGAGGGACACAGGCTACCGAGCTCCTCACGGGCTCCGCTCCCCGCCATCCCGGTATGCCCAGGGATGCTCTGGGCTGTGCTTCCCCGCCATCCCGGTGCCCAGAGAATGCGCTAGGTTGACGCTCCGGACGGACACCGCCTCTCCCTCAGCCCTCGGGGCGGCAGAAAAGGGCGGGAAGCGCCCTCCTCCTACCTGCCTCGCCCCCCCTTAGGACCCTGCCCCAGAGGGTCCGACACTCACCCGTCCCTGCCCTTGTCCCTGTCCCTATCCCTGCTTCTCCGGAGGCGACCCTCAGAGAGACTGGTCCGGCCTGGAGCAGCTTCGGGTCCCCTCGGCCCAA